TCGAAGAATTGTATCAGACTGCTCTGGGCATTGCTACCACCGCTGTACTGACGGTAGTCCTCCTTTCCAGAGCCATCGTCATAATTGACGCCGTCAGGAAGACCGGCTTCGGCCATGTTCTTGCTCCCAGCAAGAAAGGTGCGGATGCGATTGTAAAATATGTTGGGATCGCAACTCTCGTGCATGCGTTGCAAGATGATGGTCAGGTCGGTCAGCCGCTCGGCAAAGGTGCGCAAGCTCCGGGTGACGGTCGAGACATCTCCTCGGCGAGCAGCTTCCACGGCACCCAGCATGAGGGGGATGATGGGACCGCCACGGGCCTCAATAGCGACAGAGACGAGGTAGAACCACGACTCGTCGAGAGAACCAGTGAAGGTGTTGAGGGTAGCTAGGTTCTCGAGATTGTCAATGTCCTCGTCGACAAAAAGAGGCTTGAAGTTCCAAAGGCACAAAGCGGCGTAGGTAGCAACCGGAGGCAGCTCAAGATGATTCGAGACCTTCAAGAAGGGAACGGTGATGGAGGGCGGGAGTTGATCGCAAGGCTCATCGCCACCCCAGATGTAGGCATGAGCCATGAAGGATAACAAAGAGTAGGCTCTCCGCCATTCTGCGTCGTGTTCCAGACCGATGGTGGAGAGAACAGGCAAGCGGTCGACAACCGGACGAAGGCGGCGGCTGAGAACGAGAGCCTGTAAGTTGGCGACAATAGCCTCCCACTTGTTATAGTAGGGGTCCGGCAGCCGCGTCAACGGGAGAACGTCCGGTAGGAATCCATGGGTTGCAGAGATTCCATAGTCGGAGAGTTCGGGGATGGGGGGTAGCATAGTTGAGTGTTGTCTATATCTTGGTATTGCCTCTGTTGCGAGCAAAACGAGTTCCGAGTGTAGTCGATCGAGTGGTTGAGACTTTAGAAGTGCCGAGAGATTATCAACGTTCCAATGGATGATTGCGATTACGGAAGTTGGTTGTGAATGCGGTTCAGTGAGGTAGTAGACAGTGTTCAAAAAGGTCCTGACGCAAGGAGTATCCAGAATTTGCTGGAATACTCCTCAGCCGTGCGAAAGATCCTTGGAACAGCAAGCATTCAACGTAATATGAGAGCTGAGCGGAAACAGTTCCAAGATGTTGTTAGTTTCCAGGAAAAACCAATGTCGACCGTGAAAAGAAACAAGAGTTGTAGGTAACTTCAACGGAAGGGGTGTGCGTGTGCCGGATGTTTTGTTTAATAATGCGCGCAGCGGTCCCCGTCGGCTATGTGGGATTGGGCAGGCGCAATGTGTTCCAGGGTCTCCCCCGAGACCATTTTTTTTTCTTTGCAGGTGAAGAAATGTGATGGCGGAGAGTACGGATGCCAGACTAGGTGACTAGGCTACTAGGTAACTCTGCTAGGTAAGGTAGGCAGTAGAGTCGAGTGTTTGTGCCGCCTCCTTGGAGCGGTTAAAGCGCCCAATTCGAAACATGGACGGTACATACAATGGATTAGCGGGGCACGTACCTCGAGCGGGTGGAACCATATGAGTGAACATGACATCCAATGATTCGATACCTTCAGAATGATTGTGGTACCACCAAGCCAATGTATCGATGAAGTAAAGCATCTTGCAGAGCGAAGACAACTCTCGGGATTTACCGTAACGACACGATTATGCCCCGTACCAGAAGGCGTGCAAAGTATGCGTAGGAGCTACTAAGGTCTACGGTTATGTACCTAGAATACATGGCTTGCAAAGTGCTGAAAATGTAAGCAAGACGGAGAACAATGCAAGATTACAAAGCGTGTCAAAGCAACTGCAAAAAAGGAACTGGAGCTGGACCCGACCAACCCGAAACATGCCAGGCAAGCAAGCTGCCAGCATTGGATTAGAATGGGCCCGCTCCGTGCTCGGCCTTTCATCCAGCCAACTTCACACCATGAGATCAATTGAGAATCTCAGCGGCCATGTGGGTCCGATGCCGGCCATCATCGATCATTGGGTTACGCTGCAACGTGGAAAAACAGTATCTACCTAAATTCACTTTATTGCTTGTTGCAATCATCAACCTAATTTGCTATCCTGAAGTCGATAAGCAGATCTCTTGCGCAAGCTCTGATACCATGCGCTTGCATTTCGAGGCGCGCTTGGTGCAGTTATATACCTATTTTCTAACCCATCACAAAGGAAGCAAACATGCAGGATGGCCAATATCCCATGGGAAGCATTTCAAACTGCATGGCTGTGATGTAAATGGTGCAAAGTGATGAGGATGATGTACCATGAGTGTTTTGCTTTAACTATCGGTGCTGATAGATGAATGGCGATTTCCGTCCAACCTTAACCTACCTTTCTTACGTCTAATTTAGGATCGAACACCAGTATGAAGGGCCTCTTTAAAGTCGATGGAGCCCGCCTCAGGTCACAGGTTTAAGGTAACGGAATTTGACTGCGACGCGGGGAGACCTTCACGGCGGCCCCACCTTTTCCCGCCCAAGCTGAGGTGCGTCATCCGCAGTGCGAACTGCCATCCACCACCGGCACCCAATCACCGATGTCCGAACTACCTTAGCTACTTACCTACCTCCCTCCACTGGGTACTTGGAACGCTTCCACCGTCGCAAGCTCTCTGAGAAATCTATCACCGGCGCCGTCCCATTCCGCTGTCCGACGTCTCCCGTTACCGAACACCCACCCGATTGTGCCGATTCTCATAGCAAACCTTAGTGTTGGACACCGCTGCAGCATCACAAACCGGCTCTAGTCCTAGGGCCCCTGGCATGCACCTATGAGTTGAATCCGCATCTCACCTTCCCCCGCTCGCCGCTCGCTCTCCGTTACTCGCGCATTCGCCTTCACCTCTACTCGCCTCCTGACCGAGCTCCGTATCGGCTCCCCCGTGCCGGAGCTCTCGCTGCGTCTCTGCGATGCCCGTGCCGCAACATGTCCTGAACTGGCTTTACAGTGTTTTGACAAGTGTATGTTGTGTCTTCAACTCTTGGCTCCGTTGTCCTCGACTAATGCGTCGCCCTGTCCCCAGGAATACCACGATGTGAATCGCACCTACAACGATGTAGCCCAAGCGCTATCCCACCACCCATCTCTATCGCCGCGCACCGACGTTCACAGTACGGCCATCGATCGCGACCACAAACCCTTGATGAATGCGTGCTGATACCGTCCATAGCTTACGATAATGGCTCGTCAGCCCTACTTCTCCGCCTCTCTGGTACCATACCCGTTATATTTAGAGGCACCACATATCGCTTTCCCATATCTGTCTGGGTGCCTCATGCCTACCCACGAGAGGCTCCATTGGTTTACGTCACTCCAACAGAGTCCATGATGGTACGCCCCGGCCAGCATGTAGATCCTCAAGGCCAAGTCTATCACCCATATCTCGTAGGCTGGGCCGCCTTCTGGGATGTATGTCTTCATGCTTATCTTCCCAACCCTGGGCTTTGAGGGTTGTTCTCCCATTCTGACGGCTAGCGTGTTAGAAATCCACGATTCTTGACTTCCTGGCCATCTTGAGAGATATCTTCGCCAAAGAGCCACCAGTCATTGCCCGACCACAAGGACCACAGCAACCACTGCCGCCCGTGGCATCGCGTCCACCGCAATCACACACCCAAACGCCTCCCCCTTTTTCGCCTCTTCCACATGAGTTGGCAGCTCGTCCGTCGAGTCGCCCGCCTCCTCAAACTCCTACAGACGGATCGCGGCCTCCGCCTCCGCCGCCCAAAACGACAAGTACTGAACCGTACAGAAGCCCACCACCTCCTCTAGATGCTAGATACGGCCCTCCTCTCCCACCTCTACCCCCTGGTGCCACTCGTCAAGGCATCCATGGAGGCCTCAATCTCCAAGAGTCAAATCGTCCACAGAGTCAAGCGCATTCTCGGTACGACTCAGCACCGCCACTACCACCAGTACCGTCCTCTCACCCACCGCCGCCGCCAGCCGTCTCATCTCCGCATCAAACTGAAGACACTGCACAGCAACCGCAATTCCGTTCTGGACATCCTGCTCAATCCGTTGCCCCTCGTCACTCAGCCGTCCCTATGTCTTACCAGCAAACGTCTCAGCATTACAGAGGACCACCTCCAGGCTGGCAACCGGACGGGCAGTATCAGGCACCACCGCTGCCGCAGCAACTGCAGCAGCATCCGCCGCCACAACAGCAGATTGCAAAACCACCGCCACCGCCAGATTTGCTCGACGCGCCCCTCACCCTGAGCATACCTTCGCCGTCGTCGGTTCCCGCGCCACCGATTCCACCGAACCCGGAAAAGGACGCATTGCTCCACCAACTAGCGCAAACACTTCACTCCCTTCGGCAACGTAGCAGACAGCAGAATGACTCCAGCATGGCAGGCTTGCAGGCGCAACGCACAGCTATGATGTCTGCCTTCTCGACACTTCAGTCGGAGATGGGGACCTTAAATCAAACATCGGGGCTACTTCAGTCCAACGCTAATATCCTGATCGACGCGCTGCGAAAAGCCGATTCTGTTATCGAGGGATCAAAACGTCAAACTGCGCCTGATATCGACGAGCTTCTGGTTGCGCCCACAGTCGTAGCTAACCAGTTATACGCATTGGTCGCCGAAGAGAAAGCTATCGGGGATACTATTTTTGTCTTAGGCCGCGCCGTGGAACGCGGAAGGGTATCACCAGCGGTATTTGCTAAGACGACACGATCCCTTGCTAGGGAGTGGTATCTGAAGAAAGCTTTAGTTCGCAAAATAGGAAAGGGGATGGGGCTGACAGCCTAGTCGAGCAGTGATGTTGCGCTCCAATATCATGACATTTCAGTACGCTGAGTACTTTGGCAGACCAAGATTTCATTGAGACTATTCTCTTTGTGCCCGGCAGTTCCTTTGCTGGCCATGTCCCAGTACTATGCTCCATAGCCTTGCAGCCTTCACCCTCCAGGTCTCTTACGCCGGCACACTACAAATGATATCCTGCTCTATGCTAAGGCATCACTGAAGAGCACTGCTAGCTAGCCCGTCCGGCATTGAATCAGTTACCATTACTGATGCTTGTTTCACTTTGCCGATTGGCAGCTTTGCGCATTTTACTCAGCTGTACAGTAGACATTGGCCGAGAATGGTACATTCGACATTCGGCACCGGTCGCCACAATTCTTCTGTCTCGTGGTGCGCGCCATCGAGCCCAGCTAGTCCCATGAGCATCTCCTGACAGAGCATCCCACCTCGTCCTCCAAGGTGCGTACGAGGATAATGATCCAAGTTGCCACCAAGTAGAAGTGACGACTGGACCAGTGGTACTGAGCGGCAGGGCTCTCTTTTGTTCTGATAAACAGCCGTCAAGACTATGACCGGTGCTCAGACACTCCCGGGGAATGGCCGACGTGCTCTTTCGGGAGGGCCTGTCTCTCGACGATGCAGACGCAGACGCAGCTGGGTGTCGGGTTTTGGGCTTCTCTGGCGAATAGTTGGCCAGCTGTTTGTCATCTGATCGAGCAATAGTCAGGTAGGACCCTTGCCAGGTAGGGGGCTCTGGTGACTTGGTCACATTGCGCTTTGTGTGGTCAATTTCATCTCTCTTGCCCTCTTCTAGCCTGCCTTTCTCCCATGATGCGGAAATCTTCCGCCAGACTTCGCGACCACGCTTGAACCCCAGGCTTTCGAATCGATTCTCGGAGTGGGTTTTCAAATTGTCTGCCTCGCGCTCAGGCCCAGCGATTCTCGATGTTGGCACCAGGATCGTTTTATTGGTTGAGGGCCTCGTCTCCGCATCCATCCGGCAGATGGCTTCCAGAGTATTAATTCGATCCTTCAAAGAAGAAGAAGAAGTTGATCCTTTAGATATACGGGCGCCCACCGTTGATTGGAAGGAACAACGTATAGCACCATTCGTGGATACTTCATATTGCAACTGTTGTCCGTGGCCAGGCTGAAAGGCCATCTGTGAGTTGCCGTTAGCAGTCCACCTATTTGCTGACCCAGTGTGACTGCGCCTCAGTCGCGAGCCGCTTTTTGGACCAGTATCGTTGGCGCTTTCATCAAACAGCGTTCTCAGACTCGCCACTTTGCTTTGCGCTGTTACGATAGCAGCATTTCCGGAAGACTCCAGTAACCCCGTCATGGAAGTTGCGTGTTCTGTTTGTAGCTTCTCTTTGGATTCGTAGTATTCTGATTGCGGGACCGACGACCTTGTACTATCCGTGCTTATGGACTAGGAGATCTCAAGATCCACCTGATCCGTTGGCCGGTCTGGTGCTTTGGCAATTCCATGCTCCAGGTTTGAGGTCGAAGCATCCCGTGAATGGAGGGCATCCATGGCTCGGGGCCAAAGCCCGAAGAGCTTCCCTCTGTCTCTGTGTCCTCTAAAAACGGTGATCTGCTCCGTTTGCGTTTTTTCGCGAGTCGGACTACTTCTCTGGCCAAAGCTATATCCAAGGCTCTTCGAAATGCTCCGGGTCCAACTTCCTTCCACTGCCGTTTTTGTTTGGTCACCGGCATTGACAAGCCTTGGGTCCAAAGGTGGCTCTGCTCTACCTTGAGGGCTATCTTCAGGAGCTTCGATATCGTTCGACCTCAGTTTCCAGGTCTTAGTCCGGGGAAGTGTACAGCAAGGTGTCTGTGTCTGTGGCGTGATACCGTAGTTGCCGAAAGTTGGCAGCGGTAAGTTTGTTCTGACGCCGCCTACGCAGACCATCAGCATTCCGTGCAGACTAGCATTACTTAGGATGTCATACTTACCTATCGGAGCTTCAAAAAGTTGTCGTCTTTCAGCTACAAGACTTCTCTGTCTTCCATCAGCTGACCTTCCAGCTTTGTTAGGCCGCCTCTCTCCAGTAAATGGATCAAAAGTGTAGGTTGTTTGTTCTGCAGCTGCTCGAATTCCAGTCTGTAGGCTGTTATGGGGCTCGCATGACGAACTCCGACGAGGTGAGATCTGGCTCGGGCTTGGGATTGACTGTAACTTCCCCACTTCTTCATAGCCTGGCCCAGGTGGAGGGTTCTTTGCAGGAGCAGATTTGACCGAGAAACCTATCTCCTTACGGACAGCGCGGTTCTCGGCTGGCGAACGAGGCACTTCTACGCTCGACGCACCATGGCTGGCAGTAGTTTGTGTCTCGAGATCAGTCATTATGTCAAGTATCTCGAACTTTGATACGATAGCAGCCAAGAGCGGGGTTTTCAGCTGTGTTGGATGTCTAGGCAATTTGTCGTTGAATTGTTCAGTCGTAGTGGATTCATCGGTAGGTGTTGCGTTCTCGATGAAGCTTGCACCTGGTTGTTGTTGTGAAACACCTGGTGCTTCGTCTGTTTCTTTGCTCTTGGGAGAGAGTCGAAGAGGTGCGGGCTTCATGTCTCCCCGTACAAAGTCCTTTGGCGACGAGCATCTTGCCTGTGTAGGTGATCCCGGCAGGTGGCTCTCCATGGGAACGCGTTTTGGAAGAGAGTACTGGCAAGTCGTGTGACAAGGAACAACAAGGCAATAGAATTCTCACCGTGTAAGTACCAACAAGTTATGTATTGACGTACGAATCAGGTCGTGATGAAAATGAAAGCTGGAGTGACAGTGTTCGGTCGCCAGGTAGCGTCATTCGAACATGCACTTGCCCTGGCCGAGCAAAAGCTCTCCAGCCATACGCATTGGCAGACTCCTTCTTCTTCAGACACGGTAACCAAGTCTAGTACGAGGCAGGAGACCCTTAGATATATCCTACAGCCTCTACTTCCGTCCTTGGTTGATGGAGCCGCGCTTTCCGTTCAACTCGGATAGTGCGGATCAGATCGGAAGGTACCTACTCGAAGATTGTCCTTGGTCCTCGAGGTATCAGTCATACATGACGCAGACAGAAACAACCGATTCGACGCTTGAAATAAACCTAGATCACAATACAGAAGTGACATATAAGCAATTTCATAAGTCGAAAACACTGTTAATTTCAGATTACGTCTTTTGGGGCCAAGGTAGGGAAGCACAAGAACATGCCTATCATATAGCTGGGAATGACTTGAGTCTCTGCGATGAAGCAACTATCGATGAATTTGCTATTCCACAAGTGAATGAAGCAACTGTGGATTAATCATTTAGGTAGCGAAACATGACCACGAATAGCCGTGGTGAGGCAAGCTCACGAATTTCAGTACACGATCATCTGCGTCTGTTCTGGCCAAGGCAGACAACACATGAAATCAACGATTGGCTGAGACTCGCTCTTCATAAAATCTCGCCTCTCGATTCTTTCTGACGGATCCCTTCTCGAGATTGTCACCTTCGATTCGTTGCCACTCGACGTCGATCAAGTCACTGCCGCCAGTCTGATAGTGTTGGCGGTGATGGCTGGACTTTATGTGCCAGATAACGACCATATAACGGCACCGCCCCCATTCCTGTATATTTGAGGTCGTACCCCAGTGGTCAGAGGTGTCTTAGGAGGAGCAACTGAACATGCCGCACAGAAAACCGGGTGCGACTCTCCTCACGAGGTACTGATCGAGGCGCGAGAAGAAAGCTAACAGGCTGCCTGGAGGTAGAAGGACGACGACCAACGTGTAGGTTGATGAGCCCGACTCGAGGCCTAGCTAGGAGCCTCAATTTCAAGAAAGCAACGATGACTATAAGGGAATCGAATAAAATCAACATGAGTCCGAGGATAAAGTGTCGCGCGAGTCCACACACCGGATATGATCATTAGAATCCCTGTGTAATGGTTGATACTTCCATCACATTTAGTCATTACCTCATTGGAAGAATATCTCGGTTCTTGACCAGACGTATATTATTCTTGTCCGTATCAAAAATGTCTCCAGTACGAGAATTTGACCAGGAAGTTGAGATCAGGCATACCTGCAGTGCCATTCAAGAAAGTTAATAGTCGGCTCTTTCAGGACTGATGGCAATATTACTTAGAGTGAAACAAGACTTCCTTGCGCGTTACTCTCGCTCCTGCAATGAGATTCGGTATTCTTGTAAATACGAGTGTTTCCTCACACTGCTACATGCAATTCTCAGCCTGTGATCTCACGTATAGTAAGTGAGTAGGCTGAAATTGATGATAAAGCAGCTCTATTGGAAGACCTTAGCCGTAAAGTACCGAGAGCGTAAGACGAAAGATGCAAGCAAGATAGTCACAAACAAACCGTACGGCAGCAATGTGTGGAATACACTGTTCACAGGTCAGATGGTTCAAGACGACGGCATATGGTCCCGTTAAAAAATCGGTCAGACTGCACTGCCAGGGATCAATTGTTATTGCAAATGATGCCAGACATATTGCTCTGTCGCATGTCACATGTCACAATGCCCGAGATAGTCAGATTAGAAAATAAGTCGGGCCATGATACAGCAGCTAAAAGCCACATGCCTAGCTTGTGGCAGCCCAACTTAGCTTGGCTCACTTATTCTGTCCATTCGAACTCTGACGGCCCGTGTCCTGGCTAGACAAACCAGCTGGGCCGCGAGACATGGCCGGCCCGGACTGTTGTTCACTATTCGGGTAGAAGGGACTGCCCATGGGATCGACAGAGCGACGTATAATGCTCCCATGTACCCCCCATCCAAATCGGAAACGAGTGCGTCCGTGTTGACCGTAACTTGGTTGTTGGCTTGACGTCTGGCCAGAGCAGGTGTGGCAGTCTCAAAGCAGCCGTATGCCAGAGTCAATCTGCCTTCCATCATAATTTCTTGGTGGGGGCTGGAACCAGGAGATCGACCTGACATTATCAGCCGCTGCTGACGCAATTGGTGAGCGCACCCCCCCCCCTCCCCACCAACCCTGTGGCGGCTCAGCAGGCTGGCACTCCTGCCTCTGACCAAGCTCGCAGATTGGCTTGAACACACTGTTTCACTTACAGCAAACGAACAGTTGAAAATATCCAAAGCCGCAATGGGTTCTCCTAGTTATTAGGCTTGAAGAGCCACGAGGTCTATGCAGTCATGTAGTCAACTTAAGCGTTTGCCGTTCACCAGAGGCTATACTTTGGCTAGTCGGGTAGGATGGTGCGATGTTGACGGATGAGGCGCAAGGGGGAGGCAAGAATCCTGAAGCTCAAGCCTCACCGTCAGGTTCGTGAGTCAAAAGAGTTGCCCGGATGTCGCAAGGCAGTTGAGAGTCGTCAAACGCCTGACGCACTTGACGTCTGCCTCCGTCCCGTGAGACCCACTCACACATCCGACCCGGCCGCTGGCCCCGATTCCCCACTTCCGGTGCGGGGACATAGCTTCTGCACCCCGACGCAACGGGTCTCTACCCAATCGTCGGGTTATCGGGCAGTATGATGAGATCAGAGACTGTGCTCACCAGGGTAAATGCACGATCGTTATTTTGGCACATTGCTGTCTCAGGAATTTCCAACTTGGTCGGGTGGTTGGTCCTCGTCAGGACTTCACGCCATGAATTAGGAAACGATAAATCCGAAAACATTCCTCAGCCGTCAGTCATTCCGGGAACAGGTGACAACCTGACAGGCGGAGCGGGTCAACCTGGCCTGGACTGAGACAAGAAGACAACGTATTGAGGCCCGTAAGACCAATCTCTCAATGCGAAGATTGTGAGAGCCTAGCCCTCTTAATGTCTCTCGTTGACGTTTTAGCGTCTTTCCAGCTTGGCACTCGGCCGTCCAACATCCCTTACTTTCCAATTCCCTATTAGCCGACACTAATCCGCCTTTTCTGTAACCGCATTTCGTCCGCGCTCCGTTTGAGTCTTGAAAAGCCGGTTCTAAGACCAATCCGGTAGCTCACGATGCAGTGGCTTGCACACACGATCCGCCTTCCGCCCGAAAGCTCGCCAGACGGCGGATGCTTGCATAGCCAGTGAGGGGCATTTTTCTGACGAGATGGACCCTGTCATGACCGAATTCCACGTGTCTAAGACAATCCACCCCAAAGCTTCGACCTTGTCTCCTTGATGCCTCCTCTCGGGATTTTCCCATTCATCACGACTAAAGCAGCGACCTCGTCCGTGTAAGATCTCGACCTGCGTCAGATTCGCGACGCCTTGTCTTTGAAATCTTGCCTCTTGGCTCAACCAGCTCAATGGGTGAATCAGAGACAACTGCCGCAACGTCTGACATGTAGGCTAAGCTCGAGCGGAACGATTGAGCGAAATACCCTTCTTTTCTGGACCACAACCTTCACCGGCAAGCGTTACTTGCGACCACCTCTCCATTCTGACTAAAGCGCGGAGCCATCTCCGATCAACGCCAAAGAGCTGAGCAGAGCTTCGCCAATTGTCGACGCCACTACAGCTCTTTGGCGAAATCAAGCACGCATTTAGATTAGGCTCAGCCAACTCGTCATTTTCCTCCACTCATGGGCACCCTCCTTGTTCCTTCTGTAGCTCAAGGTCTAGATAATGGTTTGTCTGTGTCTATTGTCACGGCCGCATTGACGGAAAGCCTCCTGCGCCTCCCGGTCTAGATCCTTAACTAGATCCTATGATTTGGGTGGGGTTTTGACAGTAGGCATTCAAAGTGAACGATAAAAGATCACCATAGCCTGCTTCGCCTCGCCCTCTTCTCCTAGACTTGCCGTCATTACTTCTTCTCATGTCCACCTGCATACCTGGCTTTTCTGCTCTTCCTTTAGAGCTATTAGCTTTCGGTCTATTTCCTAGCCCCCACTCCAGCTTTCGCTGGGTGAACTTTGATCTTTGACCAGAATTCCACGACATCATTAGCCGGTTTTATCAAATTTTGGGTAACCAGTATCGCTCCCTCTTTTAATTATATTTGAAATCTCCTTTTTTCCACGCCGGTTTATCGTTTTCGCCACAACTCCTATCATTGCCCATCATGAAAGTAAGCAAGCAACTTCTCGTTGGGCTCTGGGCAGGCGGCAAAGCGGCTGCTTTCTTCATCATGCCCTGTTCAAAACCAGTGGTTGTTGAGCGCGCCGATCCCATTGTCAACCCGGGAGCTCTCTCAGGGCATGTTCATACCATCATGGGTGGTAATGGCTTCGACTTCAGTATGACTTATGAGCAGGCTCGTGCTGCCACTTGCTCAACGTGCAAGGTGACTGCCGATCTAAGCAACTACTGGACTCCAACCCTCTACTATCAAGGCCAAGACGGCAAATTCACTAGTGTTTCCCAGTCCGGAGGCATGCTTGCCTACTATTTGTGAGTAACGATGTAGCACAACGAGAGAAGCCAGAGAACTGACCATTGTTCCAGGTTCCGCCAGGACGCCAAGGATCCGGAATACAGCAAAGGGCTCATCGCGTATCCCAAGGGCTTTCGAATGCTAGCGGGCGACCCAAAGCTTCGAAGCTACAACAACACCCTCGAGCAGCGGGCCATCTCCTACGTGTGCTTGGGCAACAGCGGCCCTGCAACGAGCGAGCTTCCCAATCGT